GGGGGCAGGAACTGCACTCATGAGCAGTGTAAAGGGCCGGAGGCGTAAGTGTTCTGTAAAAATGCTTCTTGTTCTTTCTTTTGGGGCAACTACCCAACGCTGATCAGAAGGCGTGCGGGAGCATCTTTCCAGATAACACGTGTTATTAAAAGGCACAAGCTTTTGTGAACAGTAGCTCATTTCATCAGATCTGATCTAGCTGCAACAGATGCTGCCAGCCTCTTTCGGGGTTTGGGCTACCACACAGTAACCCGGCTTCTACAATGAGAAGCCCCCCAACAGGTCCTGTGCCGAAGGGATGCCAACCAGTGCTACTTTCCAGGCCCTCCCTCCTTTTTAAGGCTGGTTCAAGGACTCAAGGTAGAACCATTGACTAGCTTAGGAAGATGAGGACTTTTCGTAGTGGGGCACCCTCAAGACCACCAGATGCTCTTGGCCGTTTCTTTGCAGCGCCACCTCCTCTCAGCAGCGCATCCCAAGAGCCAGCGTAGAATTAAGCAAGTTTCTAGCCCTCAAAGCTCCGAAAATAGTTTATAAAGTCTATATGGTCAAGCGCACTTGGCTAAGAAAAATTCCCCAGGAGGGACGGAGCAGGGTTTCCAAAGATCAAGAGGTAGCTGCTGATTTTTCCACTTACCTTGCACATTCCTGTACCAAATTACACGAGAAGCAGGAAAAAAACGCAGGATGGTGAAACAGTGATGGTGTAAGAACTGAGATACGAGCCAGAAAGCACCTCTTTAAATATTGCCTCTTTTGCAAATTCACTGACTGGACCAGCCTTTGGCGAGTTGCCTTCTTTCGGTCTCCTGGGAGGATTGAAAGCTGCCTTGGAGCAGGTGGCGAAATGCTTCACTCTTCTATCCCGGGCCTGCCTGGGAGTCCACCAGTGGGTCTTCAGGGGCTCAGGTACAAAGAGGCCTTCTGCCTGTTACCTAATCCGAAATCGCGGGGGGTTGAACATGCCCAGAGAAGATGCTCTGCCACTGACCTACAGTCCAACTCCTACACGGTCCTCAGAACAATTATACTGACTCCTCTTTTAGCACTGGCATGAAAAATGGCCAAGATAATGTACGTGAAGCATTTACAGTGTTATGGAACTAATATAAAACAATATAGAATCATAGAATTGTGAAGTTGGACGGAACCACAAGGATCACCTGATCCAAGTGCAGGCAAACCTCCTAGCCTCTTCTTTAAAATGAGCATCCTCCATATATAAGTGTTCCAGTGTTGTACCGCTCTTACCATCAGGAAGAGTTTCCTTATATTTAAGTGAAATCGAGATAGCTGCAACTTTTCTACCTGCTATTTCTGGTTCCAGCTTCCTTAGGATAGCTATACATCTACTGTATATAAATTAGATTTAGCTTTACAGTATTTCCTTTTCTTTAATCTCCGACCCTCAATTTCTTTTGCCTACCACTTCTCTTTTTCTGCATTTTGCCTAGTGCTGCTTACCCCCAAAGGGAATAGCAAGATGGGCCCACATATATGTTTAAAAGCAAGCATGTACAACACGATATTATAGAAAAAGGGTTCCTGTCTTGGCCCACACAGTCCAGTGTCTCAGTTGGGACACTAGAGAACTTTATATGTCTGTGGTATGTGGCCTTCCAGAAGTGACTAAGCTGCATTCCTGGTGTCCCTCAAGCAGTTAACATAACATGTTTTGCAATATCATAACACAAACTTTGCCCCTTACGTGCTTGCATAAGTCATTGCAACACAAGTATAAAAGGTCGGAGCTTTGTGACGTCATGATGCACGTTTTCTCATTTTGCCGTCATTGTGACTAGTGTGGACATCCATGGCTGGAGCTGCTGGGGGTTGTGTTCAGCAACATCTGGAGAGTCACAGGTTTCCTGCCCCTGTCCTGGGACCAAAGCCATTGGAAAACCTGGGTGGATAGGTGTGCCACTAAACTGCCTTTGGCTCAAAGTGAGGCGTGAAAATGCTGAGTGTGTATTAAGGGTGTGTTAGTTCCTCTTCATGCTGCCCTGCTTTTAATATCCTTTGAAGTAGGGAGAAGATGGCCATCATTTTATATCTCTTCTGTGCCCAGGACATTTTAATCCACGATTGGTTGCTTTTAATGTAGAAGGAGAAAAGTTGGGAAAAAGAAATGTGGCAACCCCATATCTTCTTTCTCTCGGCTGCAGCTATCAAGTCCCAGGTAACCCTTTGATTTCCATGCTCCTCCCTGGTTCTCCTCAGCTGCCTGCCTCTGAGTTGGCGCTCCCAGGTTCATCGAGCAGTGTTTGGGCGGAGCCAGAGCGCCCTTTAACCCTTCCAGGTGTCAGGCAGACAGATGGACAGACAGCCCTTCAAGCCCTGGAAGCGGCAACCCCTGCCATTCCCAGATGCCCAAGAAAGAGGCTGAAGCAGCTAAGGTAACTCTCCTGGACATTTCTGCCAGCTGTAGACAGTGTTCTTTCTCTGGATCGCCCCCTAAGAATGTATTCAAGGTCCCTGGGATTTCCGTTCCATCTACAAGACGTTCTACAAGGGATAGAACATCTAGGTAGATGTGTTCCCCTCCGAATATAACAGGATTGACAGCTCCTAAGGATCTCATGGAAGACCCACGTTCTTTGCGTCCATTAAGCTTCCAGCAGAAGACTTGGTGGCTCTGGAAGACCCCCCAGCCTCCCCAACCCTCGTTTATCATTCTTTCCAGCAGCACCCCTTACATTTGCTGACTGTTCTAATCAGTCTTGTCTAGCTGTAGCATACAGGGGGAACTTTTTACCTAATCGTTGTATAGAAAACAGCGGGAAGTATATCAGCTGTTGCTTGATTTTTGCAGTCACCAAGCGAACGTGATTGTGTATATGTGAATCGTTAAGGACTTGCTGCTGATAGGATGACTATCATGAATTTCTGTTATATGGGATGGGGGATTTAAAGTGGAGGAGGAAAAGGTTGAATGGGAACTCTGAGCCATTCTGCCCCTTGTGCTTTTGCATTTACTATTGCTTCTCCAAGTGATATTTCTGCTCTGGTCTTAAAATCACGTTGCAAAGTGAGGGGAGGAGGGACAGAACAGACTTGCAGACAGAATGGGGCAGGCAGCCAGAGAGTTGCCTACCATCCTCCTTGTTGGCACAGCCACTTACATTGCCCCCCAACTAGTTCAAAAATACAGGGTCTGCTGCAGGCACAGAGTTCCCCCATATAATTGATGTCCTGCAAATAATGCAAGAAAGCACACCACCCGTATGAAATCTGGGTTTCCTTAACATACTACAGCCCACAATAATAAGAGCACAGCAGTGCAGTACATCTCTTCCAAGTGAGGCTCGAGATCAGTTACTGCACGATGATGCATCAGCTTCCTCAGCGTGTACAAGGCTTGTTTGCTCTAACAGACATGCCAAAAGTCTCCAGGAGTTACTCTGTGTTTCCAACAGCTGTTGGCTTCCCTTTTTAAAGATTTGTGTTCAATGCTATTTACTGTACTGCGGGCTGAGAACATTGCTAAGAGCTGGCATTTGCAGGCTAGGAGTTCCCAGGTGCTTTCTAGTCCTCCCTGCAGACAGGAAAAAAATGTAGGAACTTGAATAACCTGGCCCTGTGCTCCTGATATAAACAAAGGCTTCTGAATAATCCTATATGTGTCTGCTTAGAACAGTGTTTCTTAAACATTTTGCTCTCAGGACCCTCTTCCCACTTTTAAAAATTATGGAGGACCCCGAGATAGCTTTTGTTTGAATCAGTTACATGTATAGATATTTACCATATTAAAAATTAAAATTGATGCCTTTGAGGCATATCTATTTATTGAATCATGTAAACATAACATTAAACCCATTAGATATTAACATGAATAAAATATATTTTCATGAAAAAGCCCTCTATTTTTTAACAAATAAAGTGAATAAGGAGAAGAGTGACGACGTTTTCAAACTTTGCAAATATCTTCAATATCTAGCAAATAATTTTGATTTCATGGACCCCTGAGCAGGTCTTCGGGGATCCCCAGTGGCTGTCTTTAGTACTATAGCCCCATTCCTTCTTTCTGACTTCACATGCTAAAAACTTTTCAATTGTATCTTTTGATACTACGCAATGCTTTCTTTTCCCAGGGCTATAGCTTTGTATAATAGGTAATTAATGTAGTGATTAAGGTGCTGACCTGGAAACCAGGAGACTGTGAGTTCTAGGCCTCGCTTAAGTGTGAAAATCAGCTGGGTGACTTTGGGCCAGTCACTCTCTTTCAGCCCACCCCACCCCACCCCAGAGGGTTGTCGTTGTGGGGAAAATAGGAGGCAGGAGTATTGGGTATGTTTGCCTCCTTGAGTTGACCAATTTTTTAAAAAAAAGACGGGATAAAAATGTAATGATGATGATGATGATCATCATCATGATGGTGTGCATTGAAATATCACTGAAATATTTGTACTCGCATTGGCTAAAAAACAAACCAGTCTACCTCTATGTCAGAAACCAGATATGAAGAAAGACAGGGACAATAAAAGAAAGAAAGAAACAAGAAAGGAGACATAGAGGAAAATGGATGTATCCTGCTTGATGATGTAACTTTGGGGTATTTACTTTTTATTTAATGGTTTTCTTAGGAAACCATGTTTGAGGACTGCAGTTTAGCTTTGATCTTCCCCCAGAAAGAAATATTGATTTAATAATATCCCTTGAGAGGAAAAATCTTTAGTTTTGTTATTCTCTGGATTTTTAAATGGTTGGCTTGCGGGAGAGAGATATTTGTGGGTCACCAGTTATTGTTGGTTTCCCGCATCTTCAGCTTCAGCCAACAAGAACCAAAGGCACGGAAAGTCTCATACAGCAGGGTTCCTCAACTTCAGCAACTTTAAGATGGGTGGACTTCAATTCCCAGAATTCCCCAACCCACACCGGGCGGCGGGGGGGTTGGTGGGATATTAAGGAGAACAACTTTTAAAAGTT